CGGAGAGTGCCTTGAGTACTGAATTACCCAAGACAGAGATGGGGGAAAGGAGGCAAGAAGGGAGAAAACGGAAAAGAAATTAACGGCTGAACGACTGAACGGAACAACTTCCGCATCAAACCCGTTTCGGTCTCACTTTCTAGGTTCAAGCTCCGTGAAGAGTGCAATGACAACGGAAATAGCAATGGATAGTAGGCAATGGAGGAGGAAGGAGGAAGGCGGTGGGGTAATTAATCATGAACGACTATGGAGGGGCGATTTTTTTTTGGTGGTGGTACGAAGCAATGGTGGTGGACTCGGAAGGGCTAAAAAATAGCAGGGACATACCTCCATGATTGTGGTTTGATCTCGGCGAAAACGGAGTTTGGTTTGTGCGCAGAAAGGTACATGTACCTACGTAAGGCTGCAGGTAAGGTAGGTACAGGTTTCGGTCCAAGTGGGAAGAAAGTACGATTAATCCTGGGCAGGAATCCAAATGAATCCGGGAGGCAAGTCCTGGTCCTTGTGGTGCGAAAAGGAAAAGAAATACCCAAACGGATTTATGGATCGAAGATTTTCCGTTCTCCGGTCTAATCGACTTGATAATGGCTGGATATTATGAGCCTTCTTGGGGTGGGATTTGAGCGATCTTGCGGATGGTCTTTTGGCTTGTTGGGCAGGTGACTGGGAAGGCGGAGGACAGTTCATACAGTTCATAGCGGACTGACAAAGGATGCTGTGACTCAGAGCTCGAGCGAGTGCTACGGGGGGCGGCCGGACAAACCTAACCAAAGTCACGTGCTGCAATTACCCAGAATTCGAGGGCCAATCAGAAGAGAGTATCCCCCCTCGTCTTCATTACCTAATACATGTACTTAGGTAATATGAAGTTGATGAGGTAACGGGGTTCCCATGGGCCCGATACTGTGGGCCCGGAAGTCGTAACAGCCTCAACATTTCCCCGGTCTGTACGGAGAATTACCGGTCAACCACACAGTCGATCATTTATTTCTATATTCAAGAGCGACTCAACCGGATCAGACTGTTATATTGGTCCTCCGGGAGATGCCTCGCGAATCCGACCCGTAGTCCCCGACTCCTTCTCCCATCTTGACACGTCAGATCTCCTCTCGTCACTTGCCCGCCTCCTCGTCCCCCAGCATCGGGTGCCGGCCTCCACCCCTACGCCGACCATGCCATCCGCCGCCGGCTCATACATCTTTCACGACGACATGTCGCCGTCGGCCGACAACGACGAGCTCGATTCTCTACCTTCCCTTTCCAGCAGCGCGATAGATTCCGAAGCCGACTCGGATGCTCAGGCGGAGTGGGAGAGGAGCTTAGAGCAGATGAAGCTCCTGCTTACGATGGTCATCGTGCCCTTTGCCGGGAAATTTATGGGCAGGAAGTTTGCCTATTGGAGTACGAACCCTCCTTTATTCCTTGCCTCGCCAGCTTCCCAGAAAAGAAAAGAACAGAAACAGAAACAGAAACAGAGAGGAGAACCATATGATGATGATATGACTGACAATTGTTTGCACGCAGGTTGGGCTCGTTATATGGAATGGATGCACAACGTCGAGATCCGGTGGACTAGCAAGTCCCGATTCAACATGATCGGCGCCGTCGAAGCCGCTGCTACACTATAAAATACTGGCAATATCGACTCTTCCCCCAAGGCGGCGAGACGTCATTATATCGAGAGATGGCTGTCTGGAGTGTACATATGGAGTAGTGAAATGGGCTGGTTGGCGTTGCGGAGTTGCTTGATCTTGCTGGAACACCCGTTGGACACAGCTAAAACAGGAATAAAACAAAAAAGCGGTCGGCTGTCATGTCATATACACCGCCTAGCCTGCTAAAATACCGTACATTACCGATTATGGTTTCCCGCAAGCTGACCAGGACGCGGTAGACTTCGTTTGGGGCAATTTATGAGCGGTAGCTTTCCCTGCACTCTGTATGCGAGGCAGCAAGCCTGGCGTCGGACGACAATGCGCTCTATAACGGATTGATTACTTTTGTCTTATTATCAAATGTGTGGTGAACTCATAATCCTGCCTTGATCCTTTCCCTTGTCGAATATGAATACATCGCCTAGTAACGCCAATCATCAAGAGATCCAAACCCCGAGAATCATGCTCATCCTGTATCCTATTGCTGGGCCTGCCCACATCGAAACACACCGCATGGAATCGTTCGACATGGTTCTCCGTGTCCCTTCTCTACACGCCTCTTCACGTCAACCTTTCTGGGACATACAAGAAGCACGGGGCGCCCTTGTCCTTGTAGCATGGGGGGTTTTTTTTTTTTTTTTTCTTTGCGTGCGATGGCACGTCGATTAGACCTTTATTTTAAGACCTGGTCAGAAAATAAACGAAAGAAAAACGAAAGGAAGAAAACAAAAACATCGCTCTCGATCAAACACCGACCTGGGTCATATTAGGCCTCGACCCGCGAATGGAGCCACCGCTCCGACGGAAGTCGGCGAACGCGAAGACGAGGCCGGCAGCGAAGCAGGCGAAGAGGAACCACATGAAGACGAGGGAGGCCTGGATGGTGCGACACCGCTTCTCGGTGTCGGCGGCGCCGTATGCGATCCAGTCGCCCGAGCGACCGGCGGTGACGTCACAGTTCACGGCGCCCAGGCGGGCGGAGAGCACGACGGCGGCGATGAAGGTGAAGATGGTCGCCAGGCCGTCGAGGACGAGGGTCACGAGCGGGATGGCGAGGGAGGAGAAGAGGGACGCCGCCAGGCCGTAGAGGGCGGCGATCCAGGAGAGGACGGCGGTGAACATGGCGAAGTTCACGGCTGCCATGGGCCCGTTGCGGTTGAGGTCGATTACGTTGCCGATGAGGGCGGTGACGAGGAGGGTCCAGAGGAGCTGGGCCAGGCGGAGGCCTGTCTTGAACATGTTTTCGAGCATGGTTGGCGATGTCTTTTGTGTTGATGGTTGCTTTTTTTGGTGGGTGGTTATGAACTTATGTTCTCTTGTTGTTTTGGTGTCGGGCGCAAAAGTCGTCGAGTAAGATTGGCTCCGGTGTAATGGATGCGCGACGATAAAAAAGGGGTCTCAGCGGGCTAAGTTTTCGGGATAGGCTCGTTTATTGAGAACTAGCTATTTTGTAGACCCGGGGTTTTCGTTCTCTCGTGATGATATTATTCGGAGTGGACAGGGTGGAGATGGGGCAGACAGAAGTCTTAAATACGAGTGAAAGACAAGAAGTGGTCTGTGAATCAGAACACCAAAGGTAAAAGGCAAACCAAAAAAAAAAAAAAAGGGAAAAAAAGAAACAAAGTCACAGCAGTCAATGATGATGTGGTGGTGGGTGGTAGTGGTGGTGGGCGGAGGGTGACTGCTAATAAGGGAATTTCCAAGGGGGGCATGACTCGGGAAGGTGTGGAATGGTCGCACGGAAGTAAATGGTCCTACCCAACTCTGTCAATGCAAGTCGAGGGACGAGGCTGGCAGCCCAAGTGGTACCGTACGTGTACTATACCACAGCCGTCTTTCAGGAAGTTTTGAAGCAGGTAAGACGTGCAAAATTACGTGTGAAGTTCCCCGCCCAAGTGTGCAGTACTATTTCCTAATGCATAAGGTAGGTATGGCTAGCCGCTGGGTTGATGAGGTGTGACTTGCTTGTCCTTGTGTCTATTCGATGATGTTGTTGTTGTCCGGGGGCGATCTGTGGTCGGGAACATTGTGAAGCTATGATCTCATCCAAGCTGGTAGAGCCATCCATAATCCGTAATAAGCCCTGCATCCACGCCGTGTGCCCCACCACCAATGGCATCATGGGCCGAGTCTAGCACAGACTTGGTTGTGTTGCTACATGTGACTAGCCAAGCATGGTGTAGCGTTGTTAAAGGTACTTTGTAGGACATGAAAATATGGGGAACCATCTCCTGGGAGTCATTCCATCTCGTATCTTTGAATGCCTTGGCGTTTACTACCCGTCTCGTTTCTCTTCGTTCATTTTGCTCTCCCTCTCTCTCTCTCTCTCTTTCTTTTCCTTTTTTAAGAAGGTCTTTTCCTTTTTTAAGAAGGTAAATGAAATTTTAGGGTGCTGCCGGAATCCTTTGCCCTTGTACTTCTCGGCTACCACAGCAACGTACCATATTGTAACACAACACTTAAAATACCTACGTTGTACATGGTTCGAGGCCCCAACTCCCGGCGTCGATCATTTTCCGGGACGAGGGTCCGTGGGAACCTGCCGCTGCCACCGAATGCGGACAGCGATTCGCTGCCGAAAAAAAGGACGACTTCAACGCTTATCAACGTTTCGCCTCGTGCGTCATTACCGAGTGGAAACAAAGTGATTGGAAGTTCTTAACCTTTCACCCGGAAACTGGAACTTTCTACGTAGTGTACTCGTACTCGCATTCGCATTTAGGAACACTCCGGATTGTACACATGCACAAACACAAATGAAAAAGAACAGGAAATAGAACAGGAAAAGGAGCAAGGCCCCTTGACTGGAATGCGAACATTGGAGCGACATGCGTCTTGATCCGTCCAGAGGTGCCGCCCCGTCGTACCATATATTATGTGTCTACTTCGTACGTATTTGTACATGGGGTCTACAACGTACACGTACGGTGTGATTGATGATGGTTGCGATATGAGCGTTTAGTCGTCACAGTCGTGAACCAACGAACATGGCACACCCTCGTCCAAGCTTCCACAGCATTGGGCCGAACCTGAACGCCCTCCCTGTCCCCTCCATTATTTGCTTGTCATTTCCTCAGCACCTTGCAAATCCCTCGCCAGGAGAAGTATTATCTATACGTGCAAGCTGAGGAGACCCTCGATATACCTCCTCGTGTCGACCCCGATCCCCTGACCGACGAGCCTGCTTGAGCCGTCGCTCCAACCCCCTCCCGTCTCACTGTACAAATACGCCCCGCTGAATCCCCGGCCCCAAGCCCCGGCGTGGTCGCTCGCCTTACGGATCAGGAAGATCTCCTTCCTCACACTCCGCCCGGACGAGGCCGGGGAAGACGCCTCCTTGCCACCGTCCTCCGTAGTGGACGTCCCCGCGTCACTAGAGGAGCTGGACAGCGCATGCCCCTGGGACTCAGACCCCGCCGCCGACCGGGGGGACAGCGGCGGCCGGGCCAGTATCCGCGTCCAGACGACCCACCAGCCGCGGTTCGTTTTGCAGGTGCGCTCCAGTTCGGTGGCCTCGTTCCGCGTCGAGCCGTAAATGTTGAGAAGCTGCATGTGCGTGTTCATCGCCTCGGCCCGCGACCACAACGGCTCGGCCGCGCCCGCTTCCGATGACGCCGGCGGTGGCTGTGTCGAATCAGGGATGTTGGGGATCGTGCTGTGCACCGTCATGGCCACCGGGTCCCAGACGATCTCACGGATGCTCGCGCCCGCCGGTCCCACGTCCGGCCGCTCAGGTCGATATTGCGTCGACATCAGGAGCGGCCTGCGGAGAGGCGCCAGCTGATAATGCAGGGACCTGTAGAGGGAGTCCCAAGCTAGCGAGTCGGTGTGTAGCCGGAAGAGGAACGTGAAGATGAAAGGCCTGTTCACGTAGACCACCACACGTACTTTTCTCCTCTCGTTCTGGCCTTGCTTCTCAGATACCGAGCCGGATGTCGCCGTCTGCCCACTGACAGTTGTCGCTTCCTGGCCGGGTGTAGTAGCCACGGGCGTGGCCACGGATGTAGTCGTGGACGTAGAAGTGCCGGGCTCCCTCACGACGTCTCTCTCGGCGACTTTCATCGCCTCCTCCTCAAGCTCGACGTGGAGAGTGCGAACCATGGTGCGCGAGTTTCCTTCCGACTCGTCCGATCCACGATCCTCTTCCACATCTGCACCGACACCTACACCTTCTTCTACGCGCCCAATTAAGCCAATGAGGTAGTACCCCGTCGTGTCGTCGGCCACTTCGACCACCTTCGATTTCTGAGTCGGCCGTTGGCTGGTCGTGGCTGCGCCCGTCTGGCTCGCACTCTGGGCCTGGGCGGACGATTCGCCAGACTTATTACCGACAGCCCAGTACGTACCGTACCCTAATTTCATGTAGTTCATGAGCTTGTCTAGGTGTCCATCTGCAGCCTCCGAAGATTGATTCCGCAGGGCATCGTTTCCGGGTAAACCATGGGACTCGGCAGCCGTCGGTGCGCCCATTGAACCAATGTTCTGGCCCCTTCGCTCAGCTATGGTCGCCGTCGCCGTCTCCGTCGGGGTCAGGATGGATGTTGCGTTTGTGAACGCCCCTGTCCCATCCGACAACAGGACGGAAGAAGGCTTGGCTAGGGCGTCATCTGGTAGATGGGGAGCTCCTTGGCGGGACCTCGACTTTTTCGCTCTCCGCGAGGGACGAGTCGAGGTTGGACTGTCGCTGACACCGTATGCATGTTCGCCCCAGATATAGATATCCTCCATCCAATGCGTCACATGCCTCAGCGATTCACGAGACAGGGCTCCCGTTCCGAGAAAGATGGCTCCGTCATCGGCGCCGGGCTCCTGTCCGGTTCCAAGCCACCGCCCCTTTGCAGCTGCATCCGACGCAGTAGCATCATCGTCCATCTCGGAATCGCGAGATCCGAACCTGGATACGACAAGGTCGACGAGGCCTTCGACGCGACCGATAAGACCTTCGAGGACTTCGCGCTCCCCGCTTCCCCTCTCCTCTTCGCCGACGCCGATTCCCAGCTCCCCCGAAGCGGCCACGTTGATGCCGTTGAAGACGTTGCGCGTCGGATTCCCGTGCAGCATGACGCTCCAGGTGGAGAGGAACAGGTCCCAGTACCTGCTCAGGATGGTAACGAACCGGGACCGCCGACTGCGTCGGAAGAGCGAGCTCAGAGACGAGTCGTGGTGCAGGAGAAAGACGGAGTGGGCGCGGAGCAGGTCCTGCCGTAGGAGGGCCGCGGGCTTGATCTCCCTAGACGAATACTCGACGACCTCCTGGGCTGGCCCCCCTGTCCGACCGGTCGCCAGCTTCGGAGGAAGAGGGACACGCGTCAAGTCGATGGACTGTTGTAAGAAAGACGAAGAGTCAGCATTGGGCGGGGGGTAAAGAAAGAAAGGGTGGGTTTCATTGAACTGCGTGGGTTCTCGGAGCAGTAGGTCGTGTACATACCGCCAGTATCCACCAGCCTGGCTCGATCTCGTGGAGGATAACGCGAGCCTTCTCCGTGTCAATGGCGTCAACAGCGACGCCGCCCGAAAAGCTCCTGCTGAACTCGATCATGCCCTGGGCCAAGCCGATCTGTCGGAGGCGCTCATTGCGCTCTTCCTGGGGGATGTGCTCGGTGGGCTTTCCGCGAGAGCGGTGGCGGCGCCGAAGCCGCTGGCTCTGGGTGTTTACGGAGGCATAGTAGACGATTTGGTCGTCAATCGTCTCGTCAGTCTCGCCCAGGGACGGGTTAAAGATGGCGAAAAATCCCAGCCGTGCTGGTACAATGTCCCCGGGCGATGCCATCACCCACTGGATGGAGGAAACGGTAGCTTGTTTGTCGGTCGTCGCTCGGAGTGTCTGGTCTTATGGCTGTAACCAGAAATTCTAGGACATACTACGCCATCCGCTCTTTCTAGAGCCTCGGCCTCGACTCTCGAGACTCGCAACACTATTCGCTGCCCAGGAATAGCGGCCTTTCCACCTGACGGGGGCAAAGAGAACCGAAGTGGCGCTTTAGCTCTGGGAGGACTGAGCCGATGAAGACGAGCCTGAATATTCAGAGAGTTCTAATTCCGAATATATGCATTGAAAGTTATATCCAGTTGGGAGGGTTAGAACACGCCCGTGAAATAGGACCTGCTGATACGCGGAGTATAGCAGCTTGGACAGCTGGGCGTGATCAATACACGTACATGGCTGCAGTGTGAGTGTAGGTTAGGAAGGTGGTCGTCTGCTCCATCGTTGTGGAGAGAGATGATGCACGAAGTACGGATATGGAATATTAGATAATACATTGCCACTGTCAGATTATGTAATCCATCGTTTCGTCAGACTTTATGGGATGCCAAGATCCGGTATCATAATACATGATGCGGCCAATGGCGCGTTGTATTTTTATGTACTCTGTGTACTGTACGAGGTAGCATGGCAGAATACCTACCTATATTCCCATCATTTTCTCATTTAACCCAACATCTGCGTGCTCCCCAAAAAGCCGGAAAAAACATACCAAAACAGGTGGTGGAAAAAATCCACCTGTATCGGAAGCCCCCTCAGTGGAACTGATCCTCGGTAACACCCTTACCCATGGCAGCTGTACTGCTAACACCGCCCATTACCATCTTGAGCATCTCGTCAACGTAGCTCGCACCACTCCATTTCTGATGCTTGACGACATCGACCCCGCTCTCCATCTCGGGCTCCTGCACCAGCTCGCCGTAAGCCCTCATGCCCTGTTGGCTGTACGCCTTGGCGAACTTGTCGCTGATAAGAGCCGTGGTGTGCAGGCCCGCCAGCGTGATGAACTGCCAGCAGTAGCCCAGCTTCGCGAGCCGGCGGATATACGTCTCCTGCTCGGCACGGGGCATGGCCGTCTTCCAGTTGAACGAGGGGGAAAGGTTGTAAGCGAGCCTGCAGAGCAGAAGAAAGTCAGTCAGCAGACGGTTCTCGCACCATCCCATGTCTTTTTGGAGACGAGGTCACGAAAGGACAAAAAAGAGATAGAAACAGACAGAAAAAAAAAAAAAAAAAGGAAAGACTTACTTCTGCTCCGGCCAAACAGCATGGACTCCCCTGGCGAAGTCTTCCGCCTGCTTGTAATCGGGCAACTTGCTCTCCATCCAAATGGCGTCGCTGTACGGCGCATAGGCGATGGCACGGTTGATGGCGCAATGGCAACCGCCCTTGAGACGGTAGTAGCCCTCGCGCGTACGCGCGGCGTCCCAGTCGAAGAAGATATCAACGCCCAAAATGGCCCGGGCGACGGCGCGGGCCTCGGCGTTGGACTTGCCCTTGGCGGCCTCGAGGTAGCGGGCCACCAGGGCGTCCTTGTCCGAGTGAGCGCCGTTGCGGATCGACTCGACCACGGCGTCGTCGAAGCGCTTGAGGTTGGCCTTCTCCAACCAGGCGTCCTCGATGACCTGCAGCTCCTCGCCGACTTTACCAGCACGCTCGGCGGCCACCATGAGGTCGCTCAGCGGCTGGAGACCCGGGTTGGTCGAGCCGAGGATGAAGGCGTGGTCGCGGGGGTCGATGTTGGAGGAGATGAGGGTGGCGGCCTCGGCGTCGGTGCGGGCGATGCAGAGGAGGTCGGAGCCCATGATGTCGGCTTGGGCGCGGATGGCGACGAGACGGTTGATGTGTTCGCTGATCGGGACGAGGACCTTGCCGGCCATGTGGCCGCACTTCTTGGTGCCGGGGGCTTGGTCCTCGATGTGGATGCCGGCGGCGCCCTTCTCGATGAACAGCTTGGTGAGTTTCATCACGGCCGTGAGACCGCCGTGGCCCGTGTCGGCGTCTGCGATGATGGGACGAAGGTAGTCGACGTTGGCCAGCTTGGCGCGGGCCGCCTTGGGTGTCGACAGGCGCTCCTGGCGCTGCTTCCGGTCATGGAACAGCTGAGCCATGAAGAGGTGGCCGACCTTGTTGGGGACGGTGGTGTAAGGGTAGTCGGCCAAGTCGGGGCCCGGCTCGTCGGAGGATGAGGCGGTCGATGATGATTGCCAGCCCGATACGTAGACTGTGTCAAGGTACTTGGCCATCTGGGTGACCATGGTAGGCTCGAGACAGCCATAGGTGTAGCTGGCATCGCGGTTCTCGAAGCGGTGTTCGAGGATAGACCAGAGCTTCTTGGATTGCGTATTGCCAGGGTACTCAATCTTCAGGTTACCACGCTTGGACGCAATCTGCTCGGCGGTGAAGGGTCTCCTGGTATACCGCCACCTGGGGTTCTGCCACCACTGCTTGATCTGTTCGACCTCCTGTGCGAAGAGCTCATCTTCCCTGTCCGGGTCTACGGACGGATTGAGCATGTTGTTGGCGGCCATGGTGTCGTTGCCTTGCCTAGCGCGAAGAGGACTGGATGATGGAAGTAGAGGGCCACAAGCTATGTTCTCAATGCAGCAGCAGAGAAGACTTCTCTTCTCTTTTTTCCCCAATGATAGTAAAGCTAGAAAGATATCTAGACCAGGATCTAAACAGACCAGACACTCGTACTGAGATCCAAAAAGAACAAGTTGACAACTCGGGTATAAGGTGTTGTTTCTGTTGGTTCGCGGATGTTGTCCAAGGAAGGGGAAGAGTAAGTCGGATTCAAGGAGAGACTGGAGCAAAACGAAAATCCAGAAGGTTAAAGGAGAAGAAAGCTAAAAACCCAAGAGGCAAAAGATGAATCACAAGCTAAAAAAGGGAAAAAAAGGTAGGGAGTACATCCCGGATCCGAGGAAACTTGACCATGTCAGGCGGCGATGATCGGGAGTGTTCGGCCAAAGCATGGACGGGCGGAAAACACGCCTTTGTCGAATCCTTCGGTGGTCCGAAGCTCATGTCACTTACCTTACCTTACTGTACCTGTACCGTACCTTAGGTACCTTACTGTACGTGGACGGTACGGAACGGAGTACATGTGGAAATGGATGGCTTCCCTTCCAGGCTGTTAACCCTGCTAACAGATACTTACTTCGTTCGGCCTTGATGCAGCCTCTCTACGAAGCAGGTGCTCTCTAATTCGCGGGGAGTCACCTGATTCTCCCTCCCTCGGGAAGGGATCGGAGAGCTTCGACCTGGGGAAAAGAAAGGGAGAACATCAAAAGGCCAAAAGGCCAAAAGCCCAAAAGGACCCAATGAGTCACCTCGAAGCCAGTGTAAGTGTAGTTGGGTATCCATATTCATTCTCCATTCGTCTTAACCTCGGGACTTGGTACGGATAGAGCACGGTAACCCGCAAGGGGATTCGTAAATCGTAAAACCTGGAGAGGTACCTACCTACATACTCAGGTACGGAGTACCTCTAAGGTGAATCGAAGACTGGGGTTCGCCGAAGGCGGCGTGGTGGGAAAAGGGCTCTTGAACCAAGCGAACGGAAACTACAGTGTACGTGTCGTGTCCCTGGTAGTCAGTGGAGGAATGCTTCGGTTGACATGACGTTGAAGTCTCGGCCCAAGGGACGAAACGACTTGGAATACCGTGCCGTGGGTGTGGGGTCCCCTGACATGCGCCCAGCTTCTGATCTCCGCCGCCCATATGCAAACTGTAACTGTCTGCCACCTTTGCCGTCATTGGCCGAGATGCCGAAGCACGAGCCAGTCCCTGCGCCTCTCCCCTTCCGTGTCGAAAGGTCGAAAACGCTTTTGGGAGTGGCTTGTCTTGATACTTGTATACTTGTCTTGATACCTGGGTAGCATTTTTACATGCGATTCCGTTTTCACATAGCTGGCTTGAGAATATATCAAGCTGCCTCCTTCTTCTCTGCTAATCTTGTAAGTAAACGGGTAATTTGATTTGGGCACAGAAGATTGCGGACCGCCGATTCAGATCGCGGATCGTCCAGCTTTGTCTTCTTTTATCTTCTGTATACCAGGTAATAAGAGGGAGCACATCGGAATGGCGAGGTAGTTCGAGATTTCCTTACCTCAGCTGGGTACTTTTGCATAGAAGGACTACCAGGTACCTTTTACGGATACGTGAAAGTCGAAGAGAGGGCCGGCCAGCTCCCACCCATTCCTTAGCATGTGAAATACCTCTAACTTGTACATGTCCATACGGATACACCCTAGCATTGCTCATGGCACGACAAAGGGGCACCTGAACTTCACTGTTCGGTGGGTTATTAGCGTCTTGATTTCGTCATTGTCCCCAGCCGGCATCAAGACATCAACCTCGGCTCTTCGATGCATCTCTTTCTGCTCGCTCATTCTGCCCCGTTGAAAGGTGAAAGGTCATCCGATCAAGTTGATCCGATGTCGCTTACAGGAAACACTTCTTATGAACAAGTCGTGGCCTGGTCCTCGAGCCCTTGTTAACCGTTGATGTTATCGGCTCAACACCTTCACGACGCGCCTCATAAGTCCCGAGGCTGGCTCAGTCTCGGCACTACGCGAGACTCGACAAACCTAAACTGTTTTGGTCTATGGAATCAGGTATCATTAGGGAGACTATCTGTAGCCCTGTATTGGTCTGTTCCCATTGTCCTGTCGTCACAATTATAGTCAGTTCCATGTCGTAAATTGCCGTACTTCGTGAGACCGCCGGACCAAGCCCGAACACCTCTTGTCCACCACTTCTGGCATCTCACCGGTTCTATTCCACTTAGAGGTCGTCTTTGTCGTTTCGTCTTAGCAAAAGAAAAACGTTTCTCGTCGCCCCTTCCCTGCATCCAAGAGAAAACCGCGCAAAAGAAGACGAAGGGAAAATACGCCGCATAAACAGGCTACGACACCGCGTTGCAAAAATGCTCATGTCTATGCCCCATGCTGAACCTTCATTTACTCGAGTTCGGCAAGATCCTTCTCTTGCATTTGCTCAACCGCCTTGACGAAAGTCTCATATGGCGTCAGTGTGCCGAGAGCTCGTCGCATGTGCGCGTTGACAATCTGAAGGCCGTAGATGTAGCTTGCATTCACCCAGGCAAACCTAAGTCTTTGTCAGCTTCTGCCCTAGGAAACAAACCGTGTAATACGGGGCAGGAACCAGAAGAACACATACCCTTCCTTGGCAACACCTTTGATATCCAATCCCTGGTTACCGTACTCGGCGTCTACTCGGTGCGGGTCGACGGGTCGCGTCACGTCGTACTTCTCCACCACTACGCCGTTGAAATCCACGAACGCCTTGGTCACCATGAAAAGCCACTTGTAAGCGAGCCGCTCCGCGTCTTCGACGAAGCTATACCGAACGAGACCCGTCCAGGCCAGGATCTGCTGCGGTGCCCAGCCGTATGGGTAGTCCCACTGCCGATTCGGCCGCTCCAGCGAGATCTCCCCGCGAGACTCCTCAGTACCCGAGACGAGACCACCCAACGTCTCAAACTTGGGAAGAGCTTTCTGCACCATCGCGGCCGCCTGCTTAGGCGAAGCCACTCCCGCCCAGAGAGCCCAAAACGTAGTGCAGCTTTCGTACACGCACTGTTCCTTCTTGACCGTGTCGTAGTCGAAGTACATCCCCTCCGCCTCGTTCCACAGGTATCGATCCATGGCCAACTTTCTGCGCTTCGCGCGCCGGTCCCAAATGGCCGACGTCTCCACGGTGCCGGGCTTAAGCGACCCCACGCCGAACTCCTCGGGAATGACGAGCCGATCGTTGAAGACATTGCGGATCGTTCGACCAATGTCCATCTCGTACTTGAACAGCAGCGAGTTGAGATCAATCGTTGCCAGGTTCGCGCACACCTTGTCGAGTCGGTACGAGGTGTCATGGCCGGATTCGCGCACGGCCCGGTCATGCAGGAAATACTCGTCCAGCTCAGGCTCATTGACCTTCTCGTCGTTATAGGCCTGCACGAACTCCTCGAATGTCATGCCGTGTTTCTGGGCGTAGGGAGTGAGCACATGAACGAAATGGTTGGCTTCAGTCTCGGGGGGAACTCCCAGGCCCTCTGGCCGATACCTGGACAGCCCGGTGACGGCGTCTAAGCGCGGCTCGGCCACCCAAACGTTATGATACTCCTTGATGGCAGCAAGCAGGGCCGTGCGGAGGAAGTCTTTGGCATCAGGCTCGTGCTTGATCTTCTCGTACACCCGGAGAGCCAGGTCGGTGAGAAAAGGAGGCTGCGACCTCAACAGGAAGTACGAACGTGTGGCGTTGAGAATCTTGCCGTAGTGCTGAATACAGAAGCAGAAGTTGACGACGATGGACTTAGCCAGCTCTACCTCATCATGAATCAGAAGGCCCAGGGCGCCCATGTAGCTGTCCCAACCATACAGTTCGTTGAAACGGCCACCAGGAACAATGAAAGGTACACCTTTCAAAGATTCTTCGCCCGTTTCCTTGTCTTTGACCTTTTCCATGGCGACCGCTAACAAACCAGGCTTGGCATTCATGTCCCGGACCAAATGGGATGTGATCTTTTCGGGCAGTAGCAGGACATCGAGCTCGAGCTCTGGTCGATCCTTGGCAACTTTCTTGTAGAATTCATACTGTTCCGGAGCTCCCGGAGGAACGTATATTCGCGGTCGGGGGTTCTTCGTCCAATCCTTGGGGTCCCTGGCACAAATTTCGATGGTCGAAGCGTCGATTCTCCGGGTGAGGCCTTCCCAGAAATGGTCACGGATCAGTCGGCATAGTCGGTTGACCGGGTTCTCGTTGAGTCTGGCTTCGTCGAGAACAATCTGTTTCCGGCCATATTCCTTTGCAAGAACTAGCTCCTGCAGTAGGTTGGAGAGCATATAGGTACCCCGGACGTCAAAGCGATTATAACCAGCAGAGCCAGCAGTTCTCAAGGTGAGGACCTGGTCAATCATATGTTAGTAACAATGACAATGGCCACTAGGACTTGGACCTGGTATTACCTTGGGGCCCTCATCTTCAATGGTGATTTGCATATTCTGGTCAGTGTCTTCCTGCTGTTGAAGACTCTCGAGAGTTGAATCGACATCGACAAGGAAACGACGGTTAAGGGTGACAGCATTCACATCTGTGCAGATACATTTAGCATGTTATTCACTTCTTTCTGTTTAAAGAAGTAGAAAAACAAAGAGGAAAGAAGGCAATCATGGATATTCGGTAACCGGAAGATAAGAGAGGGGACACTTACCGTGACTACCACGCCGAAACGGCTCTTTCAAACCAATACGTTCAAGTTGCTTCAGAAGGCTATTCTGCATATCCGGTCCCGTTAGTACTTCCCCTACACGCGCAATGAGACCATGCAGCAAACCTACCTGCGAATAAGTACGCATACGAGATCCAGCCTTATTGACATGACGTTCCTCTGAAGTATAGTAGGTCCTGGCATCATCATAGACACCGTGATCATCAGAGAGTCGGGTGCGGTGTCGGTGACTTGTTGGGGAGGATGGAGTTGCCATGGTGACCTATAGCTTGCAGGAGGCAAAGACGCAAGAGGGAAGTGGTCTCAGATCTTTTGCGTTGGAAGACCCTTGAGACTATTTATCCCATGTGCCTGGAATAAGGGGTGGCTGAAACTTGTTCCCTCGCACAGGGAATCGGTTGTGCTTGTTATGGTGCTACAAACCTCAGTGGCTTGCTTCGTCTAACGTGTGCGCATAGATCGGTAGGTCCGGAATCTGTAGCTAGAGAGGCACGGAAGGTTGCCTGGTTGGTTAACACTCCCTGAACTCCTGTGATCGTGATCCCCTTAGTTCTGTTCGAATAGGGAAAAGGTGGTAAACATACCTTAGGACGAGATAGAGTATTTATTGTTGGGTTAAATTTGCACCAGAAGGAACAGCAGAGGAATGTTAGAGGGGGATTGCTTTCTATAAGGTAGGTGTCAGGTGCCGATAGCCACCTTATCAAGGTATGATAAACTACAGTAAACTAGACGTGTGGAGTACCTTGTGCCGATGTATCTATACTTATTTCCCCTTATTTTTCCTAATAGTTAGATATCCCCGTGAAGTACCACGAACTTTTCTTAGATAAATACACACATAATTTCCGTACCTTTATTTGTGTTCTGATAGTCGGTAAAAAACAGTGCAGGTACGGTACTGTAGCTTAAAACCCGTTCTCGCACTACAACGGAAGGTGACGATATGCTAGAGTCAGTGGGTCCACAGGGTCCAGTGACCCCCGCGCTTGCCTTATTAAGGCACAGTATACTTCTAGGAGGAGTCACTCTATACCTTAGGTACCTTTTAATTACACTATAGCTCTAGTCTGAAATGCCTATTCTATACTCTAACCCCTGTTTATTTGTTTAAAGTGTACTTGCAGAGTCTAAATAAACTAATAGTATCACGATAATACCTATAGCTAGATATATTAGGAGTGGATCTTTTCTATATAAAATACAGGGGCTTAGATATACTAAGCTATATTCTATTAGGCTACCTTATACCTCCCTAATAAACTGAAGTATATATCTAGTAGCTCAATAGGAAAATCTTACTATATAGTATATATAAAGTAGTAACTAAATTCTTTCCTATATAAAAGAGCTATAAATTAATTCCAGAATAACTTAGAGATACCTTATAATAGTATTGAAATTTTTATATCGTAGGTGCTATTAGTATAGGTACGTTTCTCGAAAATCCATTAGCTTCCTAAATTAGTAGCTAATAAATATACCACTTTGAATGTTTAAATAGGGGTTATATAGTATAACTTATGTTAAATAGGTAGTCGCAAAGAGTGAAAAGGTAGGGTTAAGCAACGAACCAGGTATAATTATAATAGGATCATAATAGGGTTAAATATAGGTATAGCCAAAGAGTCAGATTAATCGCTAGCCTCACTTTCCTAAGGGGAGGCTCCTCCGCTCCTTAAGTCTACGCTTCGCTACTCTCTACTACTCCTTAAGGACTACTTTATTTGCTTCCTCGAGGGCTACCTTATTTACTTCGAGGGACTATTCTATTTACTATATAATAACTATTTTATTTATGCCTTAAGGGTCTTAGACTGGGTATACCTGGACCCCTAGAGGTTTATACTATAGTTCTATTATAACCACTGCTATAGGCACCTAATATAGCGACCTCCCCCGGATACTCCTATCCTTAGGAGCGCCCGATCCGTGCCGGCCTCGCGGCTCCCTCGATACCTAGTCTCCGGGTCCGTTTTTAAATCCCTTCGATACCCCGAACTAGAGCCTTCCACGATAGGACCCCGATAAGTCCCGGCCTAGTTCCTATAAGGGGCCTTCCTCGGCCGTGGCTCTAACCCGGGTATATACCCTCTCCCCTTACTCTATCGACTAAGCCACTAAAGCTAATATCCTAGCCTAAACCCTAATAGGTTCTAGGGTGGTTCCCTCCTAAAAGCCTTTTAGACCTGCCCCTTTATCCTCCTAGGTTATCCCTTTAATCTATCTATAAAGGCTTCTAAGCTAGTATTATATGGGGTCTAATATTACTCCTTCCGCGAACTCGTAGCTTCCTTCTTTATACTAGAAGTAAATACTATATAACCGCTATAGGGGATATCTTATAACCTACTATTACTCCCTCTTAATATTCCTTTTCTTCCTCTTCTATACTTAATTTTTCGATTATACTATTCTTTATAAGTTTTCCCCTTAATCCAAGATATCGCGTATTAACGACTTATAGTCTCTATTAATTAAATAACTACCGTCTTATAAATGCTTCTAAACGTCTCTAGTGTATAATACTAGCTAACCACGCGTAATTACTATACTTTCCTAGGACGATAATAAAAAACGCGCCGCTACTCCTATAAGTATAACGCGGGCCTCTAAGAGGCTTAAGACCACGGCTACGGTATCGACCTCGTAGTCCGCTAGGCAGTTAGCCCTATAGTCGGTTATATAGCCTGCCTTATCGTAGGCTATCGCTCTATCTACGCTAGAGCCTCCTACTTCAATTACGGCTACGCCTTTAATATCGACTACTATGCCGTCGATTACTCTATACTAGAGGGTAGTGGATATCGGTATAGGCGGGGATTTAAGAGCCCCCTATATACGTTATACAGGTAAGTTAGTGGCGATTAACTTTAAGGAGAAAGCGTATATTATTAAAGCCGTGACGTGCCACTATACCGATAATAGTCGGCGGACGAATAAGTACTGCTATTACTCTAAGTATAATAGTCTTAAATACCGCGTAGTAAGTTATATATCTTTATTATTATTCCGATACGTCTTTATTCCCTTTTATACCTCTTTATTATCACTTAATCCCTATAGCCCCCCCCTTTATAGACTACTCCGTAGGCCTATTTCTAATATATATAATAGCTCCCTATTACCGGTAAGAATACTACCGAGTAGCTATAGAAGGTTTTAGTTATTGCTATCGAAAAAGGTAGCCTAAATAAGAGTCGTCGCGTAAGTATTACTAACCGTGTCCCCTTATTAACCCTATATGGTACCCTTACTAATCCTTTATAGTACTAGGCTATAGTAGTTCGATACTAGGTTATCCTTAGAGAGGCTTTAGGTTAAGCAACGCTAGAGGTTAACTAGTTATCTACTAAGGAAGTTATAGCTACTCGGCGTTAAGCTAAGGAAGTTACTAACGCCCGCTAGAAAACGGCGGAAGATATCCACGAGAGGCTTAATAGTATAGAGTCGCTCCTTAAGTAATTCGTCGGGTTATAGTAGTAACGCCTTACTGTTAAGTAGTAGCGGCTCGATATCGAGTAGTAATGCCTAGTAACTTAAGGCCGCTAAATTTTTAGTTATCCCTTTATAAGCGTATAGGTTTATACCGATTAGTAAACCTAACATTAGCCTTAACTCCCTAGAGTTTTTCCCGGATATAGAAGACTCCCTAAACTATATCCTTAACGACTAAGCTATAATGTCTATATTTAACGCCGATAACCGACTATTAGTCATTATACAAGGTACTAAGCTAGGCTATATAGAGCCATTCTACTATTAGGTGTCTATAGTAGTAGTTATAATGGGTCCCTAGTATAAACCTATAGGGATCCAGATATGCCTAGTCTAAGACCCCTTGAGATATAAATAAAGTAAGTTATTATATAGTAAATAGGATAGTCTCTCGAAGTAAATAAGGTAGCCCTCGAGGAGTAGCGAAACATAGTCTTAAGGAGCGGAGGAGCCTCCCCTTAGAAGAGGGAGGCTAGCGATTAATCTGACTCTTTAGCTATACCCACGTTCTAACTCTATTATAATCCTATCGTGATTATACCTGGTTCTTTACTTAACCCTACCTTTTTACTCTTTACGATTATCTATTTAATATTTTAATCGCTTTACCCTCTAAGGGCGCGAAGACCGTTAAGGAGAGTCACTAAGATATCTAACTATCACGAAATAAACGATCTTATCTTTAATTTCGATAAGGCTACTAGCTAGTTTAAGCGATAGCTGCGTGAGCGAAACCGCCTTTATAGAGGACGCCGACGAGGAATACGACAGGAATACGCCGGGAACTAACACTACTCCTACTACTCCTACCTCTACCACCGCACCGGCACCTATTCCTGCCCCTATACCTACTCCTATCGCTAGTATTACCTCTACTACTACCTTTACCCCTATTACCGTCCCCGTTCCCTAGACCACGGTTATAACGGGACCCGCGTATAACCCTAACCTGACCCCATATACGAATATTAACCTAGCCATGCTAACGGAGGAATAACTAGACGAACGCGTTAAATAGATAGAGATATAGAACCACCGTAAACGTAAGCTCGCGTACTTTACTAAGCTAAAGACGGATACTATCACCGCTACTACCGCCGCGGCCGCTACTATTAATCCTACTATTAATCCTAGCCTAGCCGATATTAGCTACCGTTATATAGCTAAACCTCGACATCGTATTATCGTAACCCTATTAGGATCCTAGTATACCTATAATATATCCACGATATTATCTATACACGGATCCGCTACCTAGGCTAAGTTTAATTTCCCCCTACCTAAATAGGATAGCATATCCTAGGCTAAGTACCGTATATTTATTTAGGAGACTAACTAACGGTTCGACCTAGATTCTTAATCCTTCCCCACGGACGCTACGAAGAACTACTTCGTTATATCATACCTCCCCTACCACCTTAAGGAATGCTAGTAGGCTAAATTACGATATAAGTACGATAGCGACTCCAATAGGATTAGTTAGGCCGTACTATAGGCTTAGTTATTCTATTAGGTCGACGATAATAATACCCGCCTACGGGAAGTAGCGGTATAAATTTAGAGCGAATCTATTGTATCCTAAAAAGAGGGAGAGTCCTATGCTAAGTTTATATAACGATAGGAAGCCCTAGAGTCGGAACTACCGGGCGAGCTCTTAGACTAGTAGAGGATCTAGATAGTACTAATAAGGGTGCTCCCACCTATTCGGGATTATATAGTGTCTATAGAGGTCCTTAAGGACTACTAGGATCTAGCCCC